CTCGGAGACTTGGTCCTCTACCATTGTATAGATTTCATTGCCATGAACAGTCAACAGCAATACGCCAAAAGAAACAAGTGTTTTAGGACGTTCCGCATGCTTCATTGACATTGTCCTGGGGTACTGAAACTGTTTGAGGAGAATCATTCACTTTGGTCACTTCACTTTCTTTAAAAAAAAAAAAAAATGATGTACTGCACAACACATTTAACACAACACATTTAAGAAAGAAGTTAAAAAGTTCTCAAATATTTTCAAAAGAACATAAAAAGTAAATGTCTTAAAAATAAAATCACAGGCTTTGTTGCTATTTGATTGTGTGGTGGTTTTTGCTGAAGACTCGATGATCATCTCCAAATAACACAGATTACAGTAATATACATTACTGTAATAATGGCTGACGGGGAGTTCAGCACTAGGAGATAATTTTTTTTTTTTAAATGTGCTGTGTATTTTAAGAGTTATTTTTATAGAGCCGGTCTCAAAATGGATCGGTCTGTAGTGCTCATTTATGCGTAATTTTTCTTGCACGCTCTCAAGAATGAATGCATCATGTGAATTTCTGTGTGTGAGAGTATATGCTATGCTGTTGGAAAATATGTTGTAATTATAAAATTAAAAACAAAGTCCCTATTTGACTTGTTTTTGAGTTGCTTAAAGTCACAGGATCATGACTTGTCATTTTTACATTATATATCAGTGGTGTCAGATGAAATATAGAAAATTTTATTCTTAAGAATGTTATGTGAATCCAGAATTCTGGATTCTCGAGTCTAAACATATGGAATTTGATGACAAGATATTGATTAGGATGTAAGACATACTGCCTCCTGAGATCCACCCTGGCAGAGATCATATTAGGAAAACAAATAGTTGCATAATAATTACTACAATCTTTTCTGTAATTTCTTTAAATGCACAGCAAAGGCAAATTTGTAGAAATTCAATAAACACTTTCCTGCTGACTTTTGCATTAAACTTCACTTGTTGAACTTCGATCAATCAGATTTACATTTAACCATATAAAGAATCAAAACGACTTCCAGGTTTGATTAATAAATAAAATATATACATTTTTAATGAGAAACGTGTTCCACAACAGACCTCTAAGGTTACGTTTACACTAGAGCGTTTTCGTTTTAAAATGCATAACTTTTGCTACGGATACACCTGTCATTTACACTACTCCGGCGTTTTCGAGACTTTTGAAAATGCTGCAAACCCGGTTTTAGATTGAAAACTCTGGGGTTGCTTTTCAGTGTAAACGGACCAAAACGGAGACTTTTGAAAACGATGGCATGGCTGCCCACATTTGCTCTGCGTATCCTTGACGACCGTGTATACAATAACATCATGCTCATTGTTGTACCCATAGATATGTATAGGTAGATGCCACATTCAACCGCTCCAACCACATAGACGTCCGCCATCTAAATAATAGGGAATCTATACAAATCTATGGCTGTACCTGCATGAATGTTCATGTGACATGCATTTTCAGTTGTGTAGTGTGGATGGAGATGTTTTTCTGAAATGCAGTGAAAACGCCAGTGTAGACGAGGATCGTTTTCATTTTAAAACGAAAACGCACTAGTGTAAACAGGGTCTAACTGAGTGTATGTGTGAGATAGATGAAGATAGAGACACACTTGTGATGTTGCTATTAAAGCAAAAGGTGGATATACCAAATTTTTGTCAACTTTTCACTCAAACTGTTATACTGACAATATAATTTGTGATTAAAAAATATATTCCAACAGAACAGAAGCCAGAGGAGGTCCTCATTTTGGAGAAGGTGAGGGGGTAGATTACCACATACCTCGGGATGAGTAACATGGAGATTAAAGAAGAATACTACATCAAAAGACAAACTGTATAGTTACGGATGAAAAATTTTGTTGAGCAGTCTCCATCTTAAAAGTGCAATAAGCACCTAGATGAGAATATGCTAGCCAAAACAAACAGTGCAATGAAAAGAGTGCACACAATCTATAGCCAAATCATCTTATTGGCAAATGTCTGTTCTGTCTACTCTTCTCCTATTACTCAGTCTGAAAATCTGGATAGAATATACACACTTCCATCTATCCAACAAACACACACCCCATACACACAGTCTTTCGCCTTCCTATAGACCTTTCAGTAACCTTATCCAAAACGACACATTCTTTCAATAAAATCCACCACTGAGCTCACTTCTGTTGCTGTTGCCGTCACCCCACATGTATGCTGATCCAAGCCCAATTATTTCAGCATCCTGCCATTGCTGCTAATAAATCAGCAGGTTAAAGTTACCAAATAGAGAGGAGAGCATTTGAGGATTTGGGTCCCATCCCCGAAGTGCTTGAACCCCCTTCACTTTCTCCTCATTACTCCCCTCACTAAAATACGCATGATGTCATGGGCTGAAAAATGATAGCAATTAATCAGAGCTACTGAATCCTACCCATTCGACTAATCACAATTATACAAACCGATGAATCATCCGCAGAGGCAGAGGCCTGCTAACTACCACACCAGAGAAAGAAAGAGAAATTAGAGTTCAACTTTGCAGTACTTTTGTCATAATGACTGCACAGGCTGTCTGCACCTGATATATACAATTTCAAATTCAAATCAGAGAGAAAAGAAATAAAATGAAGACTTGACATTTAACTTCTTGTCTGAAAAACAGCTAGAGGTTTTGGAGGGGCAGCCAGCATCTAAAATTGCTGAGGACTTGGGCCACAGGTCACACTATACCTAACCAAAGCCCAATGTTTATTGAGAGGAAAAGAGAGATTTATTTTGAATTTCATTTCACTTAGGATTTCACAATAAAATCGAATGCTGATCAATTACAGATGTTAAATCTGAATTCTGAACGCATCTGATCTGGAACGCATTTGAAATCCATTATTAATTGACCACCTATACACCATATTTCAGGACATACAAACAATCCTGAAGGGCCATTCATAAAAACAATTGAACTGAACAGCAGGTGTGTTTATTATGCATTGTATCTCATACATAATGTACTAACAATTAATAATAATTACTTGTCACATATAGAACTTCAAAAATATTTAAAGAACTTTTTTTTTTTTTTTTAAGGAGGCAAACTCCTCAACCACCACCTGTGTGCAGCATCAACCTGGATGATGTGACGCAATCATAGTGCGCCAGAATGCCCACCACACACCTGCTTATTAGTGAAGAGGAGTGATGAAGCAAATCAATTGATACAGGGATTACAACAGAGGGTAGTGAACAAATTTGGCCAGGATGCCAAGATTATACCTCTACCTATAATTATACATTTCCTGGGACTTCCTGGGAGCTTTGATGACTAAAGAGGTCAGGACCTCGTTTTAACATATCATTCGAAGGTTGAATGCTTAGCTACAGTAGGCAACTAGGCGAGAGCTTTAAAGTACATTACAATTAAAAAGCTATTATTTGATCAAAAACACAGTAAAACTGTCATAAAAAAAAAAAAAAAAAAATTAGCATGCCTATTATTAACATATTGGCTGTTTATTATAGTGCTTATAAAGCACATATTCTGCATGACCATATTCTACATCCCTAATCCTACCTAATACGTAAACTTAACAACTACCTTACTAACTATTAATAAGCAGTAAATTAGGAGTTTATTGAGGCAAAAGTCATAGTTAATGGGTTGTTAATTGCGAGAATTGGACCTTAAAATGAAGTGTGACCAAAAACATCTATTTCAAGTTATAGTAACATTTCACTATATTTTAAAATGCAATTTCTTCCTGTGACGACAAAGCTGAATTTTTAGCATTTATTATCTTTAGTGTCACATGACCTTCAGAAATTATTCTAATATGCTGATTTGGCGCTCAAGACACTTTAAAGAAAAAATTCTCATTATTATCAATGCTGAAAACAGTTGTGCTGATTAATATTTTGTGTGAAAACTTTTTTTTCAGAATTCTTTCATGAATAGAAAGTTCAAAAGAACAGAATTTATTTGAAATTTAAAAAAATGATTCATAACATCATAAAATGTCTTTACTGTCACTTTTGATCAATTTAAAGCATCATTGCTAAAAAAAAAAAAAAAGTGTAGTGTTGATGGTAGTGGTAGTGTAAATATTGTGAATACATCATGCAATTACATAGTGACAATGTAGTCTATTTAGATGAAATCAAAAACTAGCCATCACGTGCATCACAAGTATAAACTTGGTATAAAATCAGACATACTGTCTGTCAGGCAGTCTTAGGTCCAGAAATTAGAAAGTCAACATTAGTCTAGGAGTGTTATGCTACACTACCACACCACCTCCAATAAATGTTTCTCCCCACAAGCACTTTAGTCCAGCATATTTGTTGTGATGTAGTAAAAGAAATCTAATACACTGGCAAATCACCCAACAACTGCTCAGCTAAATACAAAAATATTTAATATGTCATTCTGAGATTCTCGAAACTCGAGAATGCCAATAGATGTCAATGCTCATTCATTGTCACTTTCAAGTACAGTACAGCCTCAAGCTTGAATCCAAACAGGTTTGTGCAGCTGATGACTATACGAGTAAACAGAGGTCTGGATTCTGACAGCTCGCAGAGAAATGAGATGAAATGGAGGAGCGAAAGTTGGCCAGAAATCTAGCCTAGAGAGAGCTGTGAACGACACGTAAGGGAAAGAGGAACAGACACATACATCTAAATGCCGCAGGAGACCACTGGACATAGAGCGGGTGAGAGTGTCTGTAAGGTAATGCGGAATGTGGCTTGTGTCATGTTTAGATGGAGGATATGTGGTCACTCAGGAACTAGAGGATAAGGGTGAACAGGGAGTGCGAGCCAAACACATCACTGACACCACCGCGCGAGTGCGCTTGTATTTATGTGCTTCATGTTCACAAGAGTGTTTTCCACTACGTGAGCTTGAATAATGGCAGCCCCTGTGTGTCTGGCTTTGACAGCATGTGGAAATTTGCATGTGTTTGTAAGTGTGTGTGAGAAGGAAGTTCTCTCACCAAAGGCTCTTTATTCTTGACCAGTCGAATGATCTTCACAGAATCTTCTTCATCATCAATGTCGTCTGGCAGAGGAGGAAGTTCTGGATCGTAACTCTTCCTGGCCACGGTATCATGAACAGACAACAAACTCTGCAACGAGAATGAGTTGTACACATAAAAGTCCACAGAAGCTCACACAGTAAGACAAACAGTAGTCGTTTGTCTTACTGCTTTAGATTACTACCTCCTACTGACAAATAAAGCTGCTTTTGAATTGATTACAGTCACTATTTCACTACAACCCTCTTTGGCAATGTTATTTGTTAAAGTGTCTCCAGCAGGAAAAAAAAGAACTGAATCAAAACCAAGACCAATCATATTGTCATCTTTCATTTGATTAGATTATTATGAGTATTACGAGTATCCCGCTGGGAATACGGCAACATTGCTGTGAGCTTCCAAGGGGTGAGGACACTTTATGGCAGATGGATGGACAGAAGGCAATGAAGTTCTCAGCCATTTCAGATATTTCACACCTTAACTCTCAGAGAACGAGGTATAGCAAAAGAATGACGGCATTCAGAGATTCATTACTGAACTGTTTTAACGATGCTGTGTCAAATGCAGCTTGAAACACTTTTTCTTTTGCTCCTTTTCTCCCTCGCATTTCCAATATTAAAACATCTTCCAGTTGTGTGCCAGAGATAAAAAAAAGAGAGGGAAGAGAAAAGAAAAAAGAAGAAAAAAATAGAGACAAGAGACAAGACAGAGAGGAGAAGAAAAGTGTCTGTTTTATGACATGGGATTGAGCTCCACAACAACACTCAACATGTGGCTAAAGCAGAACAGATGGGAGAGAGAGAGCGAAAGAGAGAGGAAACAAACAGGGAGAGAGAGAGTGAGTCATGTGTCTAGTAAGCGGGTCAATTTCAAATCCAGCGTTTTACTGAAAATTACATATTAAATATTAGAAATATCTGATAATTAATTTGTTTCTGTCAAAACACTTCAGTCTTCATAGATAATTAAACTGAATTAAAAAATTAAGTTGAATCTGAATCACTCAGTCAGTCCACACCAACGCTGCTGAATTCCCTTTTTACCAGAAAGTGAGTTTGCAGTCCACATTTAACGTCATAAAAGACTGCAAAAATAATGACAAGAAAACTTCTGAGTTTTTTCTCATAAGATGCACAGAAGAAAAAAAAAAACATACAGAGCTTTAAATCAGATCTACATTGTGATCCGAACCCTAGCCGATTCACTAGAAAATGGGTTCAAGTCTACATCTCACTCATTTACTGCATGCGACTCAACTTTCTGAACGGCAAATTATCATTAATTTCTGTCATGTACATCTTGAAATTAATCAAGAAGTTCTGAGATACTTAAAATCAGTATTATCATGGACTAGCTGATCATTTGACAATATGTAGTAAAAGATACACAGTTGCAAAAGTCTACTTATTTAAAAAATGAAATGAAGACCTACCACTGCGATACAAATTTGACTCTCATTATAAAATAAACCTAATTTCTGACTGGACTATACACCTGCCAAACAAACACATCTACACACTATGTTTAGAGATAAGCAGTATATTATGAGATGTAAACAACTTAGAACAACCACAGACATGAAAAAAGTTTTCACAATCCCTTTAGGGTACAAGGTTGTTTGCGTCTACACTAAACACAGCTCTGCATATCATATTAAATGGTGCAGTTGTTTTAAGCAAACTTGAAATGGAACATTTTTAATTGCAACCGAGTTGCCATGCATTTCTTCTGTCCAAGTCCTCCTCCAGAAGACAAACAGACACACATTGCGACCTGGATTCTTCCAGATGACCAGATCTATTCTTTCACCAAGTAAAAAAAAAACCCCAGATTGTGTTATGCTTGGACTTGAATAAAATGTCACAATATAAATATTATTAAAGCGTCAAGGCATTAACCATCTGCAGCCACATTTTTTTACCATTACTCTTTCTTTGTCTTCTTTATTCTAAAGGCCAAAATTAATGTGGCATTGTGATTCAGTTTTCTTAAAATGTGTGCAGCTTGCCAACACAAAGCCACATGAAAGAATGCACATGCATGCAGAGCTGAAGATTAATTTGTACATGGATGTGACAATTCAAACACACATAACATGGCTGAGACACCCTATGAAACATCTACATCACTTATCTCGATACTGGATACTTAATTGTTCGTGCTCATTTCTCCAATTTAGACTACCTTTGCTGATCCTCATCTAATGCTCACAAAGTTAATCACTGAAAACACTAATTTACTAACACTTAAACATACTCTTTAACAAATGAAAATTAATATCCATTTTTCATACTGTGCACTATAATGCTGTGATGTCATAGCATGAAAATAATTATCATCTGTATCAGCTCAGCTGGAACTTCAATAACAGCGTATCCCTGATAGCATTGCACACCACTTAGCAACTGCTAAAAGATCAATTCAAAACACCTTAGCTGCATAGTAGGGTTGTGACGGTGAGGAAATTTTACCACCGGTTAATCGACGTGTGACAACACCGGTAATACCGGTATCACCGTTGGGGTGGGGGTGTTAGTTCGTTTGAGTTTCCCTATTTTCTTCGCTTTCAAATGGCTTGTAAAAGTGCAGTGCGCATTTTACTTTCGCTTTCAAATTAGCGGCAATTTGGCGTTGATTCAATTCAAGTAACAACAACGTCAAACTCATAGAACTTTTATTAACAAAACGAATAAAAATACACTATATATGCCTAATAAAATAAATTACTTAGGCTACACAAAGTTTAAATAGGTATATAAAACTGAAAATCAGCAAATACTGTGGAACCAAATAAATAAGAAACAAATGTTAAAAAAAAAATTTCCAGTCAATAGGTTTTTCAAAATCTAAAATATTGCCAAACAGGCGCCTTTGCATTTCCTTTCTAAACAATCTTCTGCCATCGTTTTGTCTTTCTCACCTCACTCTTGTCAGTCAGCTCGACTCACTTATCTCCTCACGTGATAAATAAAATCTGACTCCTGCTCCGTGGTGCACTGTCATTCGCGCACGGTTCGGCACGCTGCATTGAGCGTTTAGTTTTTAAAAGTGTCTGTCCTCTAACTGAACTAGGCGAAATGATTTTTGTTACTATAAAAAAATCTAAACGACGGTGGTGGGCGGTGCCGCGGTAGGCAAATGACGTAACCGGTGGTGCAGCTTAACACCGAAACCGAAAACACCGTCTATCGCAGCAAGCCTACTGCATAGTAATGCCATTGAAAAGCAATCTAGTCTCTTACAACAAATTCAATAGATAAATACATGATGAACAGTTCAAAATATTTAAACAATTCTTCCTATGTACAGAGGTCACAAGAAACCAATGAGTCAAACCATCAACCGATGAGTCAAAATATATTTTTGGATTTTCCAGGAACACCACAAAAATAAAAGGCTTCTTCCATTCTTCCATGAATTGAATTGTGTGCAAAAAGGTTTTGTTTTTAAAAAAAGACAGTTCACTGACATATTAACCTTATTTTGACATTTTTAACCTGCCATTAAATATCAATATGTATGTGCTATGTGCCTAAAAACTGGAATTGGATTGGCATTATTTACAGCTTTGAAAAAAGGCTGCTCACTGAAATCTGACTGTACTGTCAGATCTGTTCATGGAAAGGATTACTTCAGCAAAATTGTGGCATTTCCCTGCCTCTTCCATTTGATTAGTCCAATTTAAAACACTGGTCTTCACCTATTCCTGATAAGTGAAATTATGAGGCAGCCCACAGAATCTGTATACAGTCCAACAACTTGGTCTAAATTCACTATCCTGCCATGCATAACACACTCAAACACAGACACAGACACAGAGGTATAAAGGGTGTTTTGTGGAGCTAAACTCTCTCCTGAGGTTGAAGGAATAAGGTCAACATCAGGCCAGGAGGCAAAAGAGTGAATTGAGGGTCAAAATCAGTAACTCATTTCTTCAGGTACTCTTGCCGTGTGTCTGTGTGAGCATGTTAATTAGTTATACTGGGCCTCTTACAATAACAAATTGTTGAACTTGTTCAAATAAAGTCTGGGAAATGTAACTGGGCATGCAGCTCTCATTAGGAAAGAGTTTGTCATCCGAACAGTCATTATTCAACCTGCTGAACTAACTACCCATACACATGCCTGCACAAAATCTGCACACAGATGCGAAAGAAAAAAGGGGCAAAGTAATACACTTCTATCTATTTTCCTACACAAACCGAGAGCCACTCATCTCCTCTTTCTCGCTCAGACCAGAGCAGCTCTTTCTTTCCGCAACACGCAGCTTGCCGTAATTGCAGCTTTCATCAATGTCTATATAAGTTTGTAAGCGGGTCTAATATGAGAAAAATGTGTTTTTTCATGTGTGAATCATACATGAGGGAGGAGGAAAGAGATCGCTTAATAGGTTCTGATTTATGTCTGGTCGAAGGGAATGGATCATTTCAACACTAATTGAGAGTGATATAGTTTCTATTGTACAGAGACTGCATTCTAGTCCCCAGAAGCCATCTGCTAGCGCTTTACACAGCACCAACAGACACTGGGTTATAGACATAAGGGGAAAGAAAAATAGACTAAAGAAAAGAAAAATATAGAAAGAAGAGCAGAAAGTACAATGATGGTGTAGCCAGACTAGTTCAGATTAAAGACAATTAACACTACAGTTCAAAAGTATGGTGTCAGTATGTTTCTTTAAAATAAGAAATTAATATTTTGAATATTTTATATATTTATATTATTGAATATTTCAATTAAACACTGTTATATTGAACTATTCATCAAATTATAAAAAGACGTCACAGTTCAACAAAAATATTAAGCTGTCACAACGTTGATTAAAAAATAATAAAATAAATAAATAATATCTTGAGCACCATATATAGCATATAAGAATGATTTTTGAAAGATCATGTGACACTGAAGACTGGAGTAATGACTGCTGAAAATTCAGCTTTGCCGTCACAGTCACAGAATAAATTACATTTTAAAATATATTAAAATAGAACAGTATTGCAGTAGTATTTCTAAATATTGTTGTTATATCAAATTAATGCAATATATAAAAACCAAATTAAGTTAAACAATTAATTTTATAGAAATATAAATTGTATAATTTCCTAAACTTTTAATTATTTGTGAGTTACATTTAAAAGATGTGTTACTTAGTTAAACATAGTTTAGATGACTAATATTACTCAAAAATGTTGAAAATAGTAATATTAAAGAATGATTAGATGTCCAAACTGTTAACTGGTACTGTAACACAATGGTATATCTGTCATTTTGTGTGGTTTTGTTTACTCTCTTACCTTTATATGTGGTTTGGACAGTAGCTTGACAAGCTCTCTGATCTCATTACTTGCACTTCTTCCTTGAAGTTCCTCCGTCAACTGACAGAAACAGACAAGAAGGATAGCAAGAGGGAGAAACAGAAACCAGAGAGCAAGAGAAAATGAGCATCGATAACATCCGTGAACACATGCATTGGTCATACAGACATGAACACACATATATTATGAATAATTGGAGTATAAATGTCTCCCTTGCGGCAGGTAGCAGGTGGAGAGTGTGTGTATGTTTAAGAGATTGAGAGATTTATAGCAGCGCAGACGCACACTAAATGAGGCACAGAGACACGTTGCTGTTTCTCTGAGCGAGGAAAGAGACCGAGAGAGATGGGCTTGTTCCCCAGATCCATTTGAAGTGTTACTCCTGAGCAACAACCTTATTATTGACCCCACTCGCTCTGGTTCTGGGTGAATGTGTGGAGCGAGTCTGCTGAAATGCTGTAATCAGTGTTGAAAGAATCGCTCCCTTAGGATGTCAGTAGACTTTTCCAGTAACCAGCCAAATGGGAGGTGACGTTCAACTGAGTAATGGTGACAGTGACCTTTAGTGAGACACACACACACAAATTGCATCATGTGTACAACAGATACATACCATCCACTGCAGCTGATGTCATAGCAGCAGAGGTCACACATGGAGAAAAACAGATTGTGCAGATCCGGGATCATTCTTTTATGACTATGGTATTTGGACACTTAGTGCACGCTTAAAATGTACAAATATTTGTAATTTAAGTCTATAAATCAAGTCTTTGAATAACTAATAATCATTTAACCATGAACCTCACAAATGCTGGCAAATCCAGCCGTTAGAGTTTCATTGTTTCCTGCATAAAAACATGTGTACTCTGGGCGTGATGGTCCATCTGTGTGAATTGGATGCGGACCGGACAGTTGTGCTGTCACTGGACAAGCATAAAAGATTAATTTTAAATGCTTGATTTCAAATTATGCTGCACTACTTCCAGTTTTCCACTATGTCATATTCGTATCATATTTATTGTGTACTGTATGTAAAAACAGTGTTCTGGTCATTGAGAAAATATGATTCCCAGATCACAGACTTAACAGATTACTGAGTGCACTGTTGATTTACTTGCATTTTACCCATGTTTTTAGCAGTTTATTTATCAGTGAAAAATAGTGTAATATGATTTTTTTTTTTTATCAAGAAGTTGCTGTTTAAAGTATGAATATTTATTTTACAGTTTATTTTTTAACCATAATTTATTTTTTCTAATTGATTTATACATCTTTTTCCTAATTAACAGTGAATATTATATAAAATTAACAAATGTCACTACAGCAATTGTTACGTATGTATTTAAACTGTATTATTATATACTGGATTTATATTTTAAAAATCCATATCAGATAACCAGTACAAAATATCCAGGCATCATTATTTTAAAGAAAACACTTCACAAAAACTTAAGATTAAATTTATTAAACAATATATTGTTTAAGATAAATAATTTTTTTAAAATTATTTTTCATCAAACGCAATTGCAATGAGACACTAAGTGCCATTACGTGTCTAAACACTGGAAACTATTTACTGACAACTGTGTTTCAGAGATTAATCAACCTAAAAACTTAATCTCTTTCAAAACAGTCTCTTGATTTTTGATAATATGGCCCAAATACTATTTATTGCAAATCAATTAGAATGTCATACAAAGTGGCCTGTTTTTGTCTTACAACAAAAGAAATCGTTTCGGAGATCTGCATCACAGCACATCTGGCTTATGACATCTGTATTGTGTGTGGCAATAGAATGATCATCGAAAATAACTCTGCAAGCGGTTTCTATTAATCAGTCAGGGACATCGTTTCGCTGCTCTGGTGTAATCTGACAGTTGTTATGCATTTGCTTGACTGATGGCTCCAGAACAGACTTCTGCATCTGAGAGGTATGAGCGGAGTGGAGTATCATCCAGCAGCGCTGCATTTTTCCACAGTCTAATGGAAGACACCCGGGACGCGATGAGGACTGTAATCTGGTGATTGTTTTTATTCAGACTGAGACCTGCTTGTGGAAGTAGCATTCTTTACTGCCTACCTGTGGCCAGAATGAGAACTGCACACCTGCTGCTAAACTTCATACTGTTGTTTGTATTACATCTCTGCTAAAGCTTTCTGTGGAAATGTGTGTGTGAGGTGCTTGCCTGCTGCGTCAGTGCTAGACAGCATCTCGGGCCAGGCGGAGGTTAAAATGGCGTTTTATGCTACACTATAAATTAAAGCTCCATTAGCGAAACTTTACACTCGAATGAGCGGTGGCGGCAAACCAACTACAGCGTTCAAAACAGCAGCACGCCGTATATTCCTCACAGCAATGGATGAAAACAATACGTCTGAAAAAACACAGGAGGGGGCTCTGAGTAATTTGGTTGCTTTGGCTGTCCGACCCTTTGATGGACCTCATCCGCACGCACACGCAGATATCGGGTTCTCCATGTGTGGGACCTTTAGGGACACCGAAGGAAAGTGTAAATCTGAGGGGCGGATCTGAGCTGCAGGTTGAGAAGTTTCCGTAACGGAAGTCGAGATCTATGGAAACCCAAGATGGCTGGTTGCCACCATCCACTGAGACATGAGTGAACAGGAAACGGACGTGTATCAAAGCTGATTAGATCTTCTAGGATATAGATTTGAGCACAAAAACAACACTGTTTAAACAGAAGTGGCATCTTTTATTGCAAAAATGCTTTGAATATCCAGACTATTCCAAAGTGCATTTTTGCCCATCATAAAGTCAGTGATGACCTGAGATGCTCTTCTCTAAATCGCCTTTGTGTTCTTTCCTTCTGTCTTTCCTCTCTGTGATCACATCCAGAGTAAACTCTTCAAAGTTTACATAGGTTTGTGTGTGTGTGTGTGTCTATGCGGCCATGTTGATATAATAGTCAGTTTACATTATGCAAGCCGTTGAGAGTTTAAACGTTGAGTGTTTTATAATACTGATGACTAATGTCTTATACAGACACACACACACAATACTCCACGCCTCATCTCGCACTCTCATCTGCAGCCCATCTATCTACTTGTGTTCTCTGCCCCAGACATCCATCAATCTTTTTTCTTTCCTTTAATGACAAGTTCCTCATGGAGTAAGTCTTAAGCTAGACATGCTGGGAGACGTCTGTGTATGTGTTTTCACAGGCATACGTTGTGCATGTGTGCATGTGTTTATCCATGCAGAAGTGTGTAAAGTTTATGAGCATAAAAGTGTTTTGGTTTTTAACAGGAAGTGTGTGCATATGGTTCACTCACGTCTTGAGCCAGTGAGCCGGCGCTGTCCAGTACTGGAGTCGGAGCACAGTCTTCATAACACTGTAACTTCTCATGGATCTAATAGGCAGTGAAACAGGAAACAGAGTGATCACTTCAAGTCATTGTGGAATCTAAACTGACCTCGTTCACTTTCCTAATGTTTACTTTCCAATGTGCACTTTCCAATGTTCCTTGTCTTATTGTGAACTATTCATTTTTTACCTAAATAACCAATGTAATTTTTAACAATCTTTAAACAAATTCTGACAACAAATTACTTTTCCACTCACATCACACAGATTTCGGACAATGTTAACCAATAGCCTATAGAAATTGAAATTCTATATGACACTGTTAAGCCAATAATTATTTTCATGGTTCGGTCAATAAACAGATGGACAATGTTAAAATTCTATATAATTTTGCCTAAATATATTACAAATAAAACGCACATAAATTTAGACATTACAACATTATAATATACAGCATGAAAATTTGATATTTATTTTGATATTTGCCAAAGATTACATTTAGAAGTATTATTAAATTCATTATTTATTATTCAATTATTTCATCTCTCTTTTTTAAGGTTAACCAAGGTAAGGTAATAATTGACAAAGGGAAGTTAAAATGTATAAGAAGTACAAATAGGCATGCACAATTAAACATCCAACAATTTACAGAGAACAAATAACAAGAAATAAAATAAAAATAAGCATCTTCTCTAATGCCAAATAACAAGATCTTCATGATGCAATGGATACAACCCATCCAACTTTATGTATTTTTAATTGAATATCCTGAATGTATGATGTACACATCATAAGCAGGTTAAACACCGACGATTAACATACAAAATAAAAGTAGAATATGTGGTAGGATCTAAGTATTCTGACAAAAACTAAAAAGCAAAGACTGTTTTCTGACATGTTTGTAACAGCTGTGTATTTTATTGGTTGTGTAATACCTATTCAAAAATTTCATTCTTGCTAAAATTGTGGTACCAGGACAACATCATGGTCGGGAGCCATGCAGAAGCTACCAGCACGTTTAGACTGGAATTTGTCCTGTGAAATATTATGTAACAGCACACAGCAGTGAAAGAGAAATTCGACTGCTACCAAGGGGACTAAATATTTATCAAGACAAGACAAACGACTCCGCCACCGGGCTGGTTGTCATAGTGAAGTGGAGAGGGAAGGGAACGCTATGAGCTTGGATCAACCGTGTCCAAGAGAGCCAAAGATGCAATTTTTCTGGATCTCCTTCTCCAGAGCAGTTTATGATGTGGCGAAGCTTGGTCATGGTAAGAACTGTTGTCGGGACCCGTGACGAACAATCTGTGCTTTCTTCATCACTCCGTTTGCAACCCTCGACACGTACTGAACTCCGAACGGGGTCACCGTCTGTTACTACAGCAGCGGTGTAGAAGTGGAATCTCTCGCACACCGGCAAACACGCTCACAGGCGAAGAAAAGAGACATAATATTTCTTATCCACTCAGACACACACAGACTCATACACACTTGGTGGAGGAGGAATGGAATGTGGGATCTGGTGAAGGATGGAATGTAACTGTCCGGTTCCTGACATTCCAGGGAGCGACATCTGTTTAGGCCGTCTGAGCCGTGGCGGAGCGGTTTTGCTCTGTACAGTTTAGATTCCATCAAAAATAAAAAGGCTCCGTTAATGAGCTGCCTTGCTGGGTACTACCTACATAAGCAGCTGCCTTCTAAGACAGCATTCTAGGTGAAAGGAAACCTTATTTGTGACTGATTTGGAAAAATGACACTAACGTTCAATAGTTTGGGGTTAGTTAAAGTTTTTGAATGAGGTTTCATATGCTTATCCAGGGTGCTTTTATTTAGCAAAAAAATTCTGTAAAAAAAGCAATATTGTTAAATATTGCATTATTAGAATTTAAAGGGGTCATATGATGCAATTTCAAATTTTCCTTTCTCTTTGGAGTGTTACAAGCTGTTCGTGCATAGATAAGATCCCTAAAGTTGCAAAGACTACAGTCTCAAACCCAAAGAGATATTCTTTATAAAAGTTAAGACTTGTCCACGCCCTCCTAAAACGCCTCGTTTAAACACGCCCCCACGTCTACGTCACTGTGTGGGAAGATTTGCATAACACCGCCCAAATGTTCACGCAAAGGCGTAACTTTTATTCTCGCTGTAGTATTGTTGCTGCCGCCGCTATGTCGTGGAGACGCTGTTTCGTTGTGAAACCGAAACTACTTTGTTTGGCCTTCCAAAAGCCGACGAGTTTGAAAATCGTGCAGTGTGAACTCGGCATAAGGGGCGTAACATTTCCGTCACACGCTTGAGGTATTCAGCCAATCACAACACACTGGATAGCTGGCCAATCAGCGCACACCTCGCTTTTCAGACCGATGAGCTTTGTAAAAATCAACGCGTTTCAGAAAGGCGGGGCATAGAGGAGAAACAATAATGTACATTATGTGAAAAATTTGTTTTTTGAACCTTAAACCGCATAAACACATTGCATTACACCAAATACACAACATAATTTTCTTTTTATCAACGTCATATGACCCCTTTAAAATAATGGTTCTATTTTAATATAATTTAAAATGTAATTTATTCCTTGATAGAAAAGCTGAATTTAAAGCAGCCATTTGTCCATTCTTCAGTGTCACATGAAATCATCCTAATATGGTGAATTGGTGCTCATAAACATTTTGTTTTATTAATATGATCAACGTTGAAAACAGCTGTGCTGCTTAATATTTTTGTGGAAACTGGATACATTTTTGTCTGTTAACATTACTGGATGAATCAGCGTTCTTAAACAAATCTCTTGTATGATTCAAAGACGAATACATTTTAACAGCCCCTTTTCACCACCTACTGGCGTAACAATGTAATCGATAAATCTTCATTTGAAGTGTCAAATTACTTTCAAAAGGTGATTTACTCTATTTTAATCACTACCATACACATCGTACACACAGTTTATATCTGAACTATAAACTTTTATCCCAGTACTTCTGTGATTTGTATGTTTGTAACAGAAATAATGATACTGTGTGGCTGAAAAGACTGTGATGCGGTTTCATATATTGAGAGACATTTATGACAGACAGCTGCTCTCTTTAGGTCAATGGCAGCGCGAACGCAGATTTAAATTTTCAAATTACACTGATGTGATCGTACTCTGCACGGACGAACCAAATAATAACAACTTTCATTGATCGCACATGTCAAAGGTTGAGGAATGAAACAGACGAATCATTGTAATTTAGGAATAGAATCACGTTGGTGTTTGAATAGTGTTCGCGATCTTTAACGATCTATTAAATTAAAGTGCTTTGTCATGTTGGTGGTGACACCTCTCTTGCAACATGTTTAGCTATCACAGATATTATACTTAGCTTTTTTGGCTTCTGATCGCAAATGTAGCCAAACTTTGGAGTGCTTAGATTAGCGAGCAAGGTCCTGGCAGATCGCTAGTTCCGGTCCTCACAGATGAAGAAAACAAAAAAAGCGCATCGGAATCGATAGGCGGAATCGAAATTTTAATTTGACAAGTATCCGATTCCTGACCTTAAGTATCCGATTCTGGAATCGGAATCGATTTTCGATTCCCAACCCTAGATTTACTCAAAATATGAATTTAGCAGTTGTAAAATAATCCATGAAATAATCCTTTTAAAAGCCATTATTTACTAGTGGACTGACCGAAGCAGGACTGCAGAAGCCGAGCAGCGGCACACACTCCAACAGATGTATATTCAAACTTGACCGGTAAACAGGACGTTATAGCATTTAGGGACAATGTAAACTGAAAATGCTAAACTTCTCACTATAGAAAGTGACAGTCTGTATGGCCCTTAGCCAGAGCGATGAACATCATGAACACTGTTGGCCTTGCTGTCCGACTAATTCAACAATAACTGAACAGTTTCATAAAGCATATAAGGCCTACTGTCATTCATTTCAACACAGTAGTTGCAGCAGCATGATGGCAAGTTGTTAGTCCTGCCACCTCACAGCAAGATGTTTTTCTATAATACAAAGACATGCACATTTGACTTAAGGATTCTAAATCATCCATATTTTAATGTGTGTTTTGCACACATTGCATGCTGGGATACATTCCAGTACTTTCAGACCCTTTTCCACATGTTCTGCTTTTTCTAGTTTCAAATGTCTCTATAGGGTTTCTCTCAAACACTCCAAATAAATGCACATTCTGATCAGATAACATATAATGCTTGTATGACATATGAGTGTGTTTGTGAAAGCTGATGGGTGGCTTTTGGGGAGTTTGAGGTTGTAAAAGAATGTGTGCTTTTCTCATCTCTATTCAAAATTTCCTTTGTAAAGCAATTTGAATCAACTGGTGTGTGGTTCAAACTGGTTCAGGCAGAGGCCTGAAAGTTTCAACCTGGGCAGCAGTGCAGCTTTGCACTCTTAAAAACAGACTAGGCGTTTCTAAGATTTTGAATGTAAAAATACCTAAATATAAAATTAATAAGATTGACTTTAAAATAGGGCAGTGCGATTTGGGGAAAATATCTAATTGCGATTTTTTTTTACAGATATTGCGATTTTAATTTTGCAAAGTCAAGCTTCAGCTTCAGTGTGCAGCACAGTATGGGTATCGTTACCCTGCTGAAAAAAAAACTATAGAAACCATCACAGAAATTCTTATGGTTTCCATTAAAACAATTACAAAACACTTTTTGTAGTGTGTTATGGGCATTATTCCAAAAGGAATTTCTGTTGTTCTATTGTTTCCCATCTGCCAGATTACATCCCACCAATATAATCCATCAAATACCAGTAGACGCCATTATAGTTTACATTAAAGCCAATATAATACCCATTATAACCCTTAAATCCATACAATTTTCTATTGTTTTGGGAGGGGTTCTATTGTTTTTTTCAGCAGAGAATATTATGGTATTACTACTTTTACAGAATTTACTTAATTACTGAATTTCACAGGAAAGATTAGTTTATTGTGTGTAAATAAAGAACTTAGTGGTAGGCGGTATGACCAAAAATTAATATCACGGTATTTTTCAAAATTATACCGGTTTAACG